AGAATTAATCTTCTATTATAATTCTCAGCCATTTTATAACAGTTTCTCTTAATTCACAATTAAAATACAGACGCGACGAACTTTATAAATGCCAATAAATTCATTTCTCCCGCATGTTTTTACGGTTATGTTGCAAGTATTAACAATATAACCGTAGCTCTCGGGAGGATGGATATTAACGCTTCGATCCACTCGCTGAGCGTGCAAGCGTAAGGCGCGTAAGGCGTACTCCTGCGAGGAGTGCGTTCGCATGCGACTGTCGGACGACAGTCGATGGTCTCTCCTCCTCGAGGGTTCAAGGTCCACCTGCGGGAGTGATACTTCACTGCGGCCGGAATAATGAAAAGAACCGTCCTGGGAATTTCTCATGAAGTCAGAGACCGCGTCTCCAGGTTCATTGCCGTAACTTCTCCCTTCTATATCTGCATTCTTTTGAATCCCTTTAAACCGGCATACAACCAGTTTTTATTATTCGATGCCTTTACGTCCGCATCGCTTTCGGACCAGCATCGCTGGTCCCGATCTTACGAGATGTTCGTAGTTAGTTACGTATATTCTTCGACGCGTATTGTTTTCAGATACATTTCTACAATTTAATTATTTGAAAAATGTTTAGATAAATGTGTAAATATATATTTGAATATTGATAAATTCGCGTTTAGTTCACGAAAATATATTTTATTAAAACCTCAAAAAAAAAAATTTTTTTAATTAAAATTATTTACTTAATAAATAAATAAACGAATTTATATAACTGAATACTTTAAAAAAATTTAAGACAGAATTCTGGAATTAAGAAAATAAAATGAAAAAGAAAAATAAGATATTATTAATTATCACTTTTGTCTGATCGTATCATGAAAATTTATATATAATGTCTGATCGTATCGTGAAAATGTATATATAATGTGAGCCGGTACCACATCAAAATATACAGGAGAGAGATAATATTTTTCTATACTTCAACACAATAGCCTTTATATTAGTTTATCGACCTCACATGTAAGTATCGAGCATATTCAGCATTATTTTCCTATAAAACATTAGTCCCTTCCTGCTATACGGTGTCACGCACATATGAACATAAATACAGTAAAATTACACGAGATAACGTCATTGCTCGCAGCTTAAATCATGAGCGAATAATACAATTTAATTTGTAGAGACGAAGGATTGTTATATTGACAAGAGACTAATTGTTCTACCGCACACATAGTATTGACAACTTATTTCACTCATGCCGTATTAGAGTTAATTCCAAGTTGTCAGATTTAATCCGCCCATTTGCTAGACGTAATGCGAGATTATACGCTAGGTGTCGAGTGTGCGCACTTTTTTTCTCACGATACTTTATCCGTAGAAATTATCCGCATTATATGAGTCTAACGCATTAATCTGCGGCAGTTAGCGCAGTCTGGCAGAAATGTATCGCATGTATTTTTCTCGCGTTGCTATTTTTGCAATCAATCACAAGCACAATTACTAATCTGAGATCTACTAATCTATATAAGATAGAAAGTTTACGTCCGAGTTATAATTAATCTTTCTTCTTGTGTCAAATTCGCAATATCGTTACAAGTCTGCAACTACATATTATATTATAATGCATATATTAAATTATATAAAATTATATTGATGTTATAATTTACTATCCATTTATTAATGTCACAAATTTATTAACATTAACTTAATAAAGTTAAATTACAAGTTTTAACTAATTATAAGAGATATAAACTTTATAAAAGTTATGTGCACTTTCTCTCGACCGACATACACGTATTCTTTGACGAATAGTTAAAGTTAATTCTTTCTTAGCAAAATTTTTTAATTTTGAAGTTACATATTTAGATAAGTAAGATAAATATTTGAATTTTGGTAAAATAGAGTCCGATTGAAATTTTTGCGTGAATAATATTTTCTTCTTAATTTGTATTCTTGAGCGAAAATTATTTAAATATATATTTAATTATCAATTATTTATATCTCTAACGATAAGCTACTGTTGTGTCGAAAAATAATGGAACTGTCATTTTGATGAAAATTTTTTACATTCCTGAAAAAGAAGTGACACTTTTCTGAGAGATTCTCTCTTTTTTAGATATATAAATATCATTTAGAGTTACCGCAAATAATGTCAGAATATGTATCGCTAAGACAATAATGGTCGACTGATACGATATCTCTACTTATTTTTTCGCTCCTCTCGTTTCACCGGCACATCGGCACGCCACGTTTTATATTCAAATACAGATATTATGTTGCTCGGCCTCGATCGTTGCTCGTCCGTAATGCGGCTGCGTCTTATGATCCGTGACCGCATTTTTCCCTGGATTAACGAACGTTCAACCCAAATCGTCGCGCGACTCGAAGAAGGGAGATAGCGAGGCAGATTACCACTAAAAAAATCACTTTCGAAAATCGCCGAGCGATTCCCCTGCGGCAATCGCCGGAAGTAGACCGGAAATCGGTCGTCCCGCTGTAAGGCCACTCGATTTCACACGCGGATCTCCGCTGCGTGAACGTGGAATTTACATTGATAGTTTCGAGAATATTATTTATTACATATTATTTCGTGGAGAAGATATTACAAATAGTCATATTAATTGATAGTTATCAAAAGCATCGAGTGAAAATATTCGTATACTGAACTTTCATTGCACTAGTCGACACGCTTCATATTATTTTAAACACTATTTAATTTTTTTACTAATATATATTTTTATTTATTTATTTAAGATGTTATTTGTGTGTGTGTGTGTGTGTGTGTGTGTGTGTGTGTGTGTGTGTGACATATATTCGAATATTATTGTACTAATACTACGTACAGTGAAATAATTAATAAGAAAAATCAAATATCTGTATTTAAAAAGAAAGTTTATTATTGCTTATTTCTATTTTTATAAAAATTAATGGTTATACGAGAATACAATATTTAAATTACTAGTTGTCTCTATATTGTTGTTACTGCAAGCTAAATATTTTAGTTTATATGAAAAAAATGAAAATGATATTTTTCTTGAAGAAATAAAACACATGCTCATGGGATGCGGCAGATGTCGGATAATTTTAAAGTTCGCGATGAAGTTATGACGTTTTCTTTTCTCTTCGCATATCCTGTTGTCGCGTTTCGCAAGGGAGCCCACTCGTGCGAAGAGAGACCGGGATAGATCGGCCCTCTGCCGAAGGGCGACTCGATGCGAGGGTATTTATCCATATTGCCTTGTATCACTCACGTTTCGCGTTTCCCTCTTTTCTTCGACTCGACAGGATGTCCCATTCACGAGTGTCTTGAAAGGCGGTAATCGTAACTGACCGACTGACGTCTTGCATGAATGTAACCGTCGTCACGGCACGTTCGAAAGCACCTTCGAGTCGTCTCTCCGCAGTTAACATCTCCATTGTTAACGAAAGAAGGAAAGTAAGGCCGCGGGATGGCTCCCTCGAAGATCGTTTCGGGATAATTTGCGATTGTACACGGAGAAAACGTCCCTAAGAATGTAATGTGCGGGAAGTATCGCGAGATTCGCAAGGCTGTAATTTAGGCCGCACATTTCGATTGTGCGGGCAACGAAAACACTTTTTCAAAGAATTTTTTCGGTTTACGATGGCAGGTTTTACGCTTGATTGAAAAGCAAATTCTTTGTAAACCTTTTCAAAGGTTAAAAAAAGAAATTAAAACAAGGCTCTGTCTCGTGTATGGAGGTTGCTTCGAATCTTCAACATCTTCGCTTTTTAGCTCTTAAGAAACGAAAGAAAAATATTTTTAATATCTATATTTTTTATTTTTGCACTTAATAATTGTTTTTATAATTATTTTCAAATAATTTTGTTATCTTCAATAAAACCAATAAAGCGTAGCAATCAAGTTTAAGTATAATTTTGAAATAAAATTGTTAATAATTAAGATGTTTTGAAATATTTGAAACTAAACCTCTGGATTATATGCAAACAATATTTGATCCTTGACACATCTAAAAAATTATAGATCTGTTATACTTGCGATATAAATTTTTGAAAGAGAATAATAATCTCTAAAAAATAAAATCAAACTACAACGAGAGAGAGATCACTATGTAATTTCCAGCGAAAGCTTGACGAAGCTTGTAGATTTGTATGTCCACATATACGCAAATGTAAACTAGAGGTAGACTAGATTGCCACAATCATGTAAATTAAATGTGGGTTATGAGTGATGCATTTTTTCGAGCGGACCCTCATATTTTTACGCAGAAACAACTTTCTCGAATCATTGCGGAAATTTCTCGGGTGGTAAAGGATTGCGTATTTGCACACACTCTTATTTGCACTGGAATATAACACGAATATATATCTCAATCTATCGAAATTTTAGAGTACATTTGCAAGTAGGAAAGATATGTATGTGATTTGCAAAAAAATCGACTTTGCGCAAATAACCTTGAAAATTCTGTTTACAGTGCTATCGAGAGAATCGTTTTAAGATACCGACACGTTCACCATAATGTGTTTTCTTTAAATTTCCATTAAATTGAAAGTTGGGCAAGCATACAGCGAAGTAAAATACTTAACCGATATTTTCACGCCAATAATGTGTGGCATCCTATAATGTTAATAATTTGTTTGTTTTTATATATGTCAAGGTAATAATATAAATATAAAATGGCGTTTTAAAGATAGACAATTTAAAAATAATCAGTTTAAAAATAATCAAGCATCTTTTAAAGATAACTATTTTAAAAATAGGCAATTGTAAATTGAAGATGAATTTGTTAATAAATATATTTATTGGACAGATTTTAATTCAATTCAAAGATAAAGGTATAAATTAAATATTAACGTGTTAATAAATGATTTGTCTACACAATTTAATGCTTAAAATTGTAGTAATTGATATAATAATATTTTCAATCATTAAAAAATACTTTTATACTTGTAAAGAAATAATATAATTGATTAAAATAATTATTATATTTAGTATATATATAAGTATACTCGTTATATCTTTATCGTTTTTGTTATAGGTTGGCGACGGCGGCATTATAGTACTCGATGCCACTTTGGATGCGTCTACGACCGACGATGCCGAGTGGGAGATCTCCGGGGGTCCGCCATCACCCTGCGATGTATCGTTTCTCAACGACAATGTCCTTATCAACGGACGCAGCAACCTCTCGAGGACGCCACGAAATCATAAGGTGAGTGAACTCTTGCTATGATTATGCAGCTTTTCCAAGCGACGCTTTGTTCGAACAGGTTTCGCAGAGAGAAAAATTGCGTCACGATTCAAGTCAATGTTTAAAATTAGTATTGCTTATATCTTTATCTTTATTCTGCAATCACGTCAATATTTATAAAGAAAAGTTCCAACAATTGATATATTTCTCTAGAAATCGTAATAATGAAAATTATCTATTAAATTATTATTAAATTAATGAATATTGTATGTGAAAATACAAGCAAACTTTATAATACAAAAAATACATATAATTTTTATCTCTCAGAAAATTAAAAAATAAGTTTTTGTCAGCGTTTTCTATAAATATTCAGAATAATTATATATTAAATCGTGGTATCTTTATTATATATTTTAATAATAAATCAAAATAATTCAGTATTTTTTTGAAATTTTCTCATTCAAAATCTCATGTTTTTATGAAATAGTAATAAAAAATAAATATAGGACAAGTTTATCGTAATCAAATTATATTATATCAATCATTAGTATCTTATATACCAAGTCTGTCAGTTATCAAAACTATTTAGAAATCCGATGCGTGCTGTTTTAAACGCATTGACGTTTTGATATGACGAACCTTATCAACGTCTCTTATTCCGCTTATTGTACCTATCTAATCTAATCAACTGTACTGCAATTATTCATGACTCGGCTACCTTACTAAACCAAAAAGCGCGCAACGTAATATTACTTTCAAGATCGCGCGCGCGGCGTGAGAAAACTTGCTTCATAACTATTCCTGAGATCGCCACAATGTGGCTGCCTGACTCCCACGTGGCTCGAGGAAATTTTTTCCCCTTGGAGGGAAAAGAGAGAGAGAGAGAGATAAAGAAAGAAGGATTGTACTAATCCACGCCGTCACGTAATATATTTTTGGCTCTCGAGATGACAAACGTCAATATTTCACGCCTCTTGGCGCCAGAAGCACGTGTTTCGGTTATATACGTGCTATCAAGGAAAACATTCTTTGTCTGCGGGTAATATAAAACAAAAAAGATCGTATCAGTAGCAGAAGAACTTTAACTCACATAATATATTAATGTTATTTATATGGACGTATGAATCCTCATAGACATATATATATAGGTTACAGATGTGTATTTAAAAATTATTTATACATAAAAATAAAAGTCGATCATAAATGTTTTCTATACGCACATATTTTCCACTCTCTTTCTCTATTTTTCTCTCCTCACTGACGTTATAAATTCTTGACGCCATATTATTTCTCCAGGCTTAGAATTCTCAAGATTGTCTTGTTTTCGAAATATCACTCACTGGTAGACTTTCGTATATTTAATTAGATGTTACACATTCGCTGCACGATTAAATTTCTGTTAATACTAGTATTATTTATAGCGAAATTTCTGTTCTATTTAAAATTATAATAAGAAGCAAATTTATAGGCTCTATATAAATATAAAAACTCCCTATCTAAATATTACAATTCTTTCTCTCTCTTTCTCTCTCTCTCTCTCTCTCTCTCTCTCTATCTACATGTTAAAATCATTAATAATAGATGTGATATATTCTAGCATTGAACACGTTGCACCAAACTGTGCAATAATAAAAAATTAAGATCTTCTCGCGCGATGTAACTTTGATGTAATCTATTAACGATAAACGGCAAGCGGATAAACGAACAAAACGTCGTTTATAAAAGATGTAAGATACGAACATAACATGCGGGAAATGGTTGAATCGCAATAATGCGCGGTGCAATATAGGTGCTCGACGCACCGATAACATATCGCGAGATTTAATATCGTTCTGCAAAACGCAATTGTGCAAATATTGATATTAATATTGGAAACGTTACGTTATTTGGTTCAGCTACCGTTTAAACAATTTTAAACAGACATTTTGGAAATATTACCGTGAAAAAAAATGAATTCTTTTGCACAACATGCATGTTTTAGAAAACATGTCTTTGAGAATAGAGCCTGGTCTAAATGTCAATATCGATCAGCTGGTTAAATATACGGAAATTGAAATAAAACGTATTCAAAGTGTACGTAACTGGATTTTCTTAATAATTAATATTGCAATCATTTTACATAGTATTTTATTAATTTTTACATTTTTTTCTCGTATCAGCATAAAATATGCGATCGTGGATTCTCTTTATTGTTAGTCAAAAATTCTATGCTTCTCTTGTTTTACTTATTGTCGATATTAGTAATGACAAATGTGAATATTATTGATTTATTATTGTTTGTCTTTTACCGCACATATCATTCTAGATAGATTTAGTATTTTGCAAACATCCAATCAAAACCTCTGTAATAATCGTGCATAATCGGATCTAAAAGTTCTAACGAAATCTTCGATCGTTTCCATTAAATCATTAAAAACGCAATCATTCCCATCTAATCATCAGTCTCCTCGCTTCATTCGCGACTTTCTCACGCGATCGTGCATCAATTTGACGATGCGACGCAGGGGGGCACTCTATTACCAACACCGATAAAATGCCAATTTGTAAGCAAAAGTATCGTGTCCGTGGACCGGCAATGATTTTCGAGCGCCTCGTCGACCAAGTTAATCTACCGTGCATCATGGGAATAATCGTGGATGAGCAATTCTGCTGTTGTAACTATGTCTCTTTGGTAACAGTAAACGCAGAAGACAAGAGAAGCCGTGTATCTTAAAAAAAGTAAATATTCATAAGAATCATCAAAAGACATTTTTTAAATATTACATTTATATTTTTGATCAAAATAAAATATGACACATTTTCTCTGAATGCATTATCACTTAATCTAAAATTGACGTTTTCCTTGATAAATATTCGATTGTGCATAATTCTTGCGTCGTAAAATCTTCATTTTTAAGAATGCAAAATTATGATTATGATAAACTAACGCGTGTTTGAAATTAATAATAGAATAGAATCTTTTATTCTTGAGTCTCGAAATTCGATTCGCTTAAATCTTTAGATCTTTAGTTCGTCGTAACTGTCGATGTTTTTGTCGAGGATAAATTGATACGACACAACGGCCACGGTATTCATAGATAAAGGCAGCGCCGATAGCTTTGGATCACTTTGTTTTATATTATCCATTGTGTTCTTACAAGATCTCGCTATTCGTCTCAGGAGAGTTAATACTTCCTGGATCGCCACGACGGACGCCGCGTCATGTTTTCTCTAGAATTTATTTCAGTGTTCGTATACCGTGTCGGATTGATGGAAACGCTGGAATAACCGATCGCGCATTATACACGAGGTGGAATTCCTTTCCGCGACTTATCGCGGAATGAGTCCCGGTTAGAAAACACGGACATTGCTCCTGGATCAAACGATTCAGACAAGAATTCAGTTACCTCGAGCTCATCGCCTTCGAAAAAGGCGAAAGATCCACCAAAGGAATTTTACAGAAAACATCGAAAATGATATATCGTTACTTTTATCCTCGAGTACCATTAATAACTGGAAATAATTTATCAAATATTTATCATTAATTTTTGCGAGCTCCATAGAATATGCAAGAGATAAATTATCACAGTTGTAACATACTTTTATTTTTATCGAATAACAAATACTATCACTCATGTTGTTAATTCAAAAAAAAAAGCTAAACAATTATATATGTCAAAAATATAAAACAAATAATATTGTTATAAATATGGTTGTGTAAAATAAAGTAGCACATTCAGTCAAACTATTTATTTGAGATAGAAATATGTCGTCTCAACACATTTTTCTTAAAAGCATATCTAAGGAATTCTTCGTACATGCTATCGTCTCCGCATATCTTACTCTCGCAGGAGGAAACTCGTTCTTCTCGTTTAAGCACTACGTTTTAGTTTTATTGTACTTTAATCGCGATACGATATAATGCCGTTGATGCTTTCGAGATTAACGCTTATTTTGCATCTTCAAGTTAAATACACAACTTGTATTAAATCTAAGAATATAATACATTTTGTATACAATATTTTTGTAGACAATATTTCATCTCGAGCTAACAAAGTAATATAAAAAAAATTTATCTCTGCATAACGAGATTTTATTACAATTTCTGTTGTAAACGACAAATGTAATGAACATTTCTTTAAGATGAGAAAAATAAAGAAAGAAACGAAATTTTAGTAAAATGCAAAGAGAAATTGAAAACTTTTCGTTAATACTAAAAGGCGCAACGTAAAGTATGCTATCAGAGGATAGAGATTTTCTTCTCTCGTTCACCGATCCGTTGCGGCACGTCGTGCGAGATAATGCGTACTTTACGATTCACTTTGTATTACGGTGCTTCGTACAATTTCACTTCGCCAATAATTGGTTTGACAGCTAATACTTGTCACGCGCGGATTCAATCGTCGAGTAATATAAACCTTCCCTCTGCGTAAAAAATCGCGATGGAAAATAGGGACAAAGAGAGTGTAGACACAGTTCTGAACGATAAGCTTATCGAGAATCTCGTTTCTTCGTGAGAAACTTTTTCCACGCGTGAATAAGGACTCGCGAGCGAGGAGAATCCTGAATTTGATATAAAGTGTGTTATGCAAGGCGCGAGAGTAATCCAACATTGCAACTTTTCTCACGCTATCGTGATCGCGTAAAAAGCATTCGTTTATTATACGCTCAAGCATTTTCTGAAGTGCCTCTCTATCAGACTAGTTTGAGAATGTTTTCCGCGAAAATATGGTCATAATACGTTCTTCGTGGAAAGAGAAAGGTATACTACGTACATAATGAATTTATAAATTGCTGAATTAGAATGACATGTAATGGCGAATCAACATCGTTATACATGTCTTGTATTTATTTTGCGATAATGTAAATTAACAAATTAATAATCTTATTAATTTAAATTATAAAGTTTGTATTTTTTTCTCTCTGCCACACAAAAGATATAATAATATAAAAAAATGATACACCCAAAACGCTCTTTTTTTTTAAATTCTTATACAAACTATTTTTCAAAAAATCACGCTGTTCTCCTCGACTCTTATACC